CAACAGGATCATCCATGACTCCGGATCCCGGCGTATATATGGCGCGTTTCCACTGCAGCGGGGTAGCCCCGTTTAAGCGTCCCTAAGCGTCCTCGCTCTGGCCTCGGGCTGCCTCGCTGGCCGGCCCAGGCCGTGGCGCATTTCCATTACAGTTTAGGACCTGGGGTAGCAACGCAGTGTAGGCGGGGCGATCAGCTTTGTTTTTGTTCACATTTCTCGTTGTTCCGTCGAGCTCCCGCTGGATTTTATCATCCCCAATGAGATGAAGGAACGTCGTCACCTCCTCGGTCGACCACGGTGTGCTTTTCTTAGAAGTAGCCATTTTTGTAGCTCCTCCGTTTACAAAATGCTGTGTATAAAAATGCTGCAAGCTTGCTTCTAGATATATATGCGACGCTAGGGATGAACTCGCACGCAATCTTGTGACGATTCTCTCTGACCAATCAGCAGTCGAGAGTGTTGACGTCACTAGTTCAGCCCTGGCCCTGGTCTGAGGGAACCACGATTTTATGAGGCCGGAAAAAGAGGGAAAAAGTACCCGCTGGCCGGTACTAGGCTATATGGAAACGCCACCAAAAACCGGCCTGGCCGCTTGAGGATGGTTAAGGACGCTTAAACGGGGCTACCCGCTGCAGTGGAAACGCGCCAATAGACACCAAAAAGAAAGACATTTGGGGAAGCTGGGTTAATCGGAACATTTGAGTACACAGGTATAGACAGAGAGAAGGAAGAAGTAAGATGTCCCCCGACAAACTAAGCCTATATCAGCAAAACTAGGGGCTGAATCTAATCAGCCCTAACTATAAGCTTTATCAAAAAGGAAGGTCTTAAGCGCACTCTTAAAAACGGATAGGGTGTCTGCCGCCCGAACACAAACTGGAAGCTGATTCCACAAATGTGGAGCTTGATAAGAAAAGGCTCTGGCTCCCATTGTACTTTTAGAGACTCTAGGAACAACCAACAACCCTGCATTCTTGCAACGCAATGCCCTAGTAGGACAGTAGGGTATAATGAGTTCTTTAAGGTAAGATGGCGCCTGCCCATTAAGGGCTTTGTAGGCGAGAAGAAGAATTTTAAATTCTATCCTGTGTTCTATAGGGAGCCAGTGTAAGGCTTCAGCTGATTCAAAATGCTGCGGCTCGTGTACTAACCAGAGTTAGGAAAAGGGACCACATTACGCTAAAACCTCTGGATCGAGGTTGTGCTTTTTAAGAAGCGGTTTTATCACTGCTACTTTGAATGATTGTGGAACATAGCCTGATAATAAAGACATATTCATAATATTTAATAAATAAGTCTAACATACACGTTGATGGTTTAGAAGAGAGAATCATTGAATTTAATTGTTCAAGGTTTATGGCTGAAAAGCATTCTAGTTTACTATCTAGTGTAATATTAGAACTTACGTTTCCGGGAGCTGTTGATAACACTATACTGGTCAAAGGCAAGAGGTCATTAATTTTTGTTTCTAAGAGTAACAATTTTATCGTTAAAAAAGCACATAAAATCATTACTACTGAGTGCTATGGGAATAGAAGGCTCAATCGAGCTGTGGCTTTCTGTCAGCCTGGCTACAGTGCTGAAAAGAAATCTTGCAAGGATGTAACCTTATTTTATCAACCTCAAACAGAAGCCGTTTGTTCAACAGTATTATCCCACTTAACACTTGTCTATTTCGTTGTAACCTTTATATATACAGTCTATGATTTTAACTTGGAGGCTACGATTACAATCGTTAGCACCGATGTAGCTACCACTAGCTTACATGCTAACCCAAGCCTTACCATTCATTACGTAGCTGATTAAAATCATTAACACATAAATAAAGCACTAGAATTTCACTTACCGCAAAACCGCATTCATGCACCGTCTGTTTTAACCGCAGAGCGAGTCACAATAGTCCGATATATAAGCATGAAGAACAAACAACCACGGCCGGCTACAAGTTGTGTTTCCTGGATGAGCTGAGCAGGCAGAGTCCCTGTAGCTAGCTTCACGGAGCAGCTAGCAGAGAGACAAGAAGCTAACAGCGGCAGGCACTTGACAGAGCCGTCACTCAATGTGACCACGCCCTAATTTATGCACAAACTTCAAGACCTATTATAAATAAAAGGGTCGCGTTAGAAAACAATTCACTCACAGATCCATAATCATGAAGGTGGAATCTAACTATATCGATAATAAAATGTATGGAGCCAGGGGCAGAAACATGTTTTTGTCTGCTGTAAAGTTGGGCATTTTAACATGGGGGTCTATGGAAATTGCTCCTTTCTGCAGCCATCGCCTATCGGCCAATATATGAACTGCAGTGTGTGGCACTTCCGTATTGGCTTCCCGGTGTCAGTACCGGCTCTACCCCACAGTTTACCGCTTGGTTTAAAACCATAGCTGAGGATCTTGGGTAATCGCTCGAAATGCCTACGTCTGTTTCCGGTTATTTTTATTTTGAAATTCAGTTCCTGACGGACGCCAAAAAAGCCCGAGATTATGGAATTAAACCAATAAATAAAAGCAAGGATAATTGTGTGTTATTGGTGAGTAAATAACAGTGTGTTATTTTGAAAAGAATAACAAATTAGAAGGAAAAAAATATTTAATAAAATACATATTTCAGTATCCTGAGGCTCAGTGAGCCCCATTTATTTTCCTCACAGACGGCAACAAAAGTCCGAAATTATACGATTTCAAATAAAAGCAATAACTGTGGCTTGATATTGAGTAAGAACATGTTTTTATGAACCACACAGCTTCCGGTCTTCCTCGACCCGACCGGAGAAAAAGACGTGCTGCAGAAAGTAGAAATACATTGCTTTTAAAATCGTGGTGTGCAACACGAAAAAAAGGGGCAAATCGTGTTGGTGAACACGAATCAATAGATTAAAAATCGTGTTGGTGAACACGAACTGCCATGAGACTGGGTTGTGTCAGACGATCAGCTGTGCAGCGTCATCACAAACGGACGTCGCTTCACGTGACACTCCGGAGGAAAGGACGTCCCATTGCTCTTAAAACTCATTTCCCTGCTTCTCGTGGTTTCCTTGCGTCCCTCCATGCTTCCCTGATGGGAGGGACTAGTCGCAGGGAAACGACGCAAGTGAGGGAAGCAAGGAATCCATTTAACCGAAGTGAGAAGGACCCCATGACGACGAGACAATAACAGGCTGCAGATGCGGACACACGTCACACACACACAAATATATTTATATAAATATATACAATTTCAGAATCAAACAAGTATGAGAGCACTCTCATAATAACGTAACACAATCAGAGACTGGATATATTCGAGGAGGGGAAATGAGTGAAATGAGAAAGGACCCTGGTCCCTCCTCTGGCAGCGAGCACACAGAAGAGCATCACCAGTAAACACACACACCCTTAGTCTCGTCATCCATTCAGTTTGTGATATAGGAGTCCCTCAGTCAGCACTAAATCATCTTCATGAAATCAGACATGTACTCCAGTGTTTTCCACATTAACTCATCTGCTGTCTGAACAGAGGTTTAGGGAGGAACGTCCCAGGAGGTTGTGGGTAATAATCAGCTCATATAAATCAGCCATTTTATTATGTCATTAACTAGAATACTGCCAATCGGTTTGTTCTGTTCAATTATCCAAACTAACCAGATGTATACATACACTCCGTAATTCCACAATAACAATTTGACGATGCAGAAAGGTTTTTATTGTTATTGAAACAACACAATAATATATCAGCGGTAAAGGGTTTATAAAACACTCTCTCCACCGACCTGCAGTGGAACACATGCTCCGGATTTTGGATTCTAGTCGTGTGTGCAAAAAAGGTAGTCGAGTGTTTTAGAAAAATACTTTTAAAAAGCAGAAATATTGTCTCTGGAGTGGGTGGAGCCAAAGAGTAATTGCAGTTTGCCAAACATGCAGGTCAAACTAGTAGAACAGGGCTTTGGGATTTGTTGAGGACTGGAAAATCAAAGTTTGGATTCTGGACAATCAGTTTGTCAAAATACAAGTCATCTAAGAGGAAAAACCTGAAGTCCGAAATGAGTAACAGTAGTCAAAGTCAGAGAGGTGATGTCGGCAAGGATTTATTGTGGAGTAAAGAATGGCTGCGGCTAATAAGACAATTAATAACTTTTTCACGGGATTCAAAAGAAACATGTATTGTAATGTAAAATGACTACGCATCTAGTCTGAGGCTGCATTCAGGGACAACTTGGCTTGAGATGAAAGGCTAACATTCTCAAGTTTAGCAGGTATTTTTCAAATATTCAGACTAAGAGTAACAATTGATCTTTGTTTTCGCGTCATAATGGATTGTTAACTACATGAAATGATTAGCTGTTTTCTTTTATGTATGTATGATTGTATGTGTGTGGACCCCAGTGACTGAGAAACTTTGGCCCTTTCTCATTTCTCTAACTCCCCTCCTCGACTCCTATCCTCGAGACTTAGTCCCGCCCACAGGAGATGCGAACGGAGGAGTCGAGGAGGGGAGCCGAGGAGAGAGGAGGGGAAGCAGCAGGCGGTTAGAGAAATGAGAACTCCTCTCCTCTGAGCGGTCATTTTAAAGAGACGTCCATTAATGATGACAGGAGGCACAGCAGCCCTCTGTCTGATGACAGATGTGTTCATGACGACTTATATATTTACTTTGAATTCATTCACAGTGCGGTATAATGAGACAATAACAGACTACAGATGCGGACACACACACACATATATATATATATAAATATATACCATTTCAGAATCAAACAGAGCACTCTCATGATAACGTAACACTATCAGAGACTGGATATATATTCCCCCCCCCCTCTCTGGTCGCTACAATTAGGGAAATAAATTACGGGCCAAAAGTTTTATTTACAAGTATTAAAAGTAAGCAGAGGACACCAAACCAACGGAGACCTGTCTGTCTGCTGCATCTACGCACACACTGTACCACACACACACACCTACACACTGTACCACACGCACCTACAGCTCCTAAAGCATAATCAGGCTACAGCCGTTGTATATTTTATTATGTGAAGCACTAAATGGTTTTAGAAAAATATCGACTCTTTGTTTGTAGATATCTACTAAACTACAGCAAATAAAGAGAGTAGGCCTGTTATACTGAGTGATATATATTATACACACTGCTCTGCTTTCTGCACGAACCTCACAGCTGTTCTCTCTGTAAACATCGCCTTGCATGAGAGCAGTTAATACAATAATATCCAGGGGATGCATGCAGAGCTGTCATTGGCTGAGATAAGTCCGGCCGTGCGTCACGACGCTTTGAAACATCTCTGTTCCCGGAAATGCATCCACGAAGGAGCCGTGGAGGACCCATCAGTGTATCCTCGGTTAGAGCTCCTCCAGAGAGCCTCCTCGACACTCGATCCTCGAAGTGCATTTAGAGAAATTAGATGTCCTTCAACATGGCGCGCTAAAATTCATTTCCGGGTCACTACCGGAGGACCGAGGAGTCGAGGAGGGGGATTTGATGAAATGAGAAAGGGCCTTTGACTTGCTGACACTGCACAACAAAAGGTCAGGGGTCAATTAAATCATTAGTAGCACCCACTTTGGACCATGAATGTCCAAACCAAATGTAACCGCTGTAGTAGAAATATCTTTGGCTCCACTAACTCCATCAAACTAATCATCTCTGCCTTAAAGAGCGCATGCAGAGCTAAAACTACAACCTATGCAAAGACAGAATACATAATGATCATTCATATTTACACTGTAACTACAGACAGTAACAAACAGGAAGTGACAAGGTCAAAGTAGTGCAAAACCATAATGATGGAGCTATTTGGCTGAAAATATGAAGGCATCCAACTGTAACAGTTACAAAAAAAACGTGTGCCTGGCCATGTGGAATATGAAGCTTCTTCAGAGGGCTTCTGTCCTTTCTGTCATATCTAACATCAGTTCAGTTCATGTTTGAGACCAAACCATTATGATCATCTCAATACATCAGCCTCCTTTAAAAGTACCTCAACAATATTTAATTCTAAAGAAACTAGATTGATTTACATTGACTTTAGGTTAAAATGTCAACAGTATGTGTTAACTCACACTAAAGTCAGTGGTTTGTGGGTGAAGGCCTTTGGTTTCATTGAACACTCCGTGCCCTCAGATAAAGAGCAGGGGCTCTATATAATACTGTACAATCCTTCATATACTGTTACATGAGTTTCAGAACTGTCACATAGATCCAAACACGGCAGGGGAAGGCAGTGGGATACATGTGTAGCAGGAGTCCGTGCTGCAGGATGGAAACAGAAGCTTTCAGGTTCTGGGGTGATGTTGGAGTTTTGGACACCAGTGAGTATCTGGATACAGAAGGCAGTGCACTGTCTTAAACCTGCAGGAAGGGAAGAGAAGCAGGGAAAGATTCACTTTTCTCACAAGAGCAAACTTCCAATTAGCACAAAGGCCTTAGGCGGTGTTTACACGAGAACGAAACGGGTTGTAATGTATCTGCTACTTTTATCTCACACTCAACTACTGCTACTGACCATGCTACAGATGTTAGTGCAACATCTACAGCTCCTCTACTACAACCATCAGCAACAAGTGGACATGGAGAATTACATGAACTACATGTTGCTAAATCCACCGCGGGGCATAAACAGAAGGACAACCATAGCAACCATGCTCGGGGGTCTTCTTCGCTGCTTTTGGTGTATTTTGTGGCGAAAGTACAGCGCCACTTACAGGCCCGGCATATGTACTACAGCGTTTCCAGTGGTCTCGTGTGAACGGACACGTTAAATGAGCCGAATGCGGAACGGAAGACTTTTTTGAAAACGAATTTGGTGTGTAAACGCAAACGTTCCCGTGTAAATGGGGTCTTAGTAATATCAGTTTGGGTAAAGGTATTTCTGTGAAGGAAATGAGTATCATTAAGCAATTCAGCAGAAATACAAAATATCAAACTGCATTGTTCTTTTATTCAAATCAGATTTATTTTGTCACCCTAAATAATATCTCTTACTGGTACACACTTAAAACACAAAATATCACAATAAATTAAAATAAAAAATATGACCCTTTATTATTTTGATTATTTTTGGTCTCTTGTTTGGTTTGGTCTAGTTCCAGTAAAGGGACACCATTATATGGAAGCCCGTTTCCCCAACAGAAAATAAAAAATGCATCCAGTAACTCATTAAATGAGTTTCCATCCCAATAATAAAATAGTAAGTCATACTAATGAGATAAGTCATCATTTTTGAATTATGAAATAATTTACAGGATAAACATTTACATTTTATGTGGCAGAAATGGGCTTGCATACATTCAAGCTCCATCTTACACAGAGCGCTGACCTCCGCCTCGTCACACACTCAGACAGGAACTGAAGGCTGGCTGCCACCAGTGACCTCTCTATGCACTGTGGCTGAAATAGAGCAAATCCCCAGCCAATCTGGGGAAAAGACTTGCCAGGAGAGCAGAGTCTGTCTGTCTGTTAGAGGAGCTCCTCATAACCACTGTCTCACATGTGACAGGAACATCCAGTCTACATGCTGCAGTTAGGGCTACAATAACCCAAACTAGACAGACTGGTTAGTCATAAACAGCTCTTACAAATATAACAACTGAAGACTGCCTCAGGACAATGTCAGGTCTAACAGTCTAATGAATTAGATCTCATTTTAGTGTATAATAGTATAGTATTGATTATTATTAGTATTTGACCACTACCACTCACTCATCTCAAAATCAGTTTTTTAAACTTGTTTTTGGTTCGATGCCTGAAATAAGGTCTGTGGTTAACACAAGGTGGAGAGATTTTCATGTTTTGTTCTACGAGTCATAAAATACATCAGCAAAAACCCCACTGTCGATTTGTCCGAAGCTTTTACATTTGATACAAAAAACTGTTTGCTAACAAGTGTCTGAAAGGAGACCACTAAACATCATCGCGCCGAACATTAGCCGCCTTTAGCTTAGCGGTGTTGATATGCAGCCATGTGACCGTCCTGTAGTTCATTTAAAGAACTACTTCAACAATTATTAAAGTGGTGTAAATATGTGGAGATTATCCTGCTGAACAAACCGTGCAAGTATCTTAAACGTGTGTTTGCCTCAAAGCTTATTTTCTGCAATATTCCAAAATCCAGTGAAAAATCCCATTGCTTTTTGTCGAGGGAGCCCTTGCAATGCTCACCTTCTTGGCCTTTACAAATAGCTAATGTCTGCACCAGTCTATAGAGGTTTAGTTTAAAATGTGCAGTGTGTGGAGGAGCAAAGGGCCATATCATTAATATCAGTCCTTGTTGTTAAAATGCTTACCTTGTGGGGTCTTCCGACAGTGAAAAGCCCCCAACAATGCTGACCACATTCCTTCTGTTCTCAAAGCCTCCGAAGCTAAGAGTCACCTGTTTCAAAACAGAATAAATATACCGTCAACCTAAGTGAAGTGAGCAAACGATAAAAGCTCAGGAAAAACAAGTATTCAATCTTTATATGTCATTCAATAACAATATGTTACAATAAAGCATTTTTATTTGATGAAAAGGATGACCGATATTCAGGAGAAAATGCTAGATTTGGCAGAGAAACTTTGATAGAGCGCAGTGTCCACTGACCTGCTCCAGCACGGTGTCGGTGGGCAGCTTCTGCAGGCTCTCCAGGTGTGAGTGGAAGAGGTGTGTGTGTGTCAGCATCACCTCCAGCAGCGCCTCGATGATGTAGCCGATGGTGCAGTCGTCTGGCAGCCGGATCTTCTCTGCTGTGCTGATGAAGTTCCCCAAACTGAAACCAGGGGACAGAGATCAGTCTGAAACAGTTCACATCACAAGCAGATCATATAGAGCATACCTTTTGGCCCTTCATATCCCTGAAATGTTTATTTGGGCCAGTGCCGATATGTTCAGAGGTGCTCAGATTATTTACTTAAGGAAAAGTAGCAATTAGCAACTAGTAGCAACTCCGTTACAAGTACAAGTCCTGCATTTAAAATGTTACTTAAGTATAAGTAAAAAAGTATTAGCAGTGTCGAAAATAAAAGTACTCCTTATGCAAAATGACAATTTTAAGCACAACATTTAAAATAAATATTGGTGCATTCATGTGTTCATCACTTTAATGTTGCACTTGTAAGTAGGGTTTATATGAAATACTTGACGTACTACTGGGTCGCCTAACCATAATAATATATAATAATGTGTTGATTTAAATATTAAGTAACTGCAAATACATCTGCAAAGTAACTAGTAACTAAATATGTAAAATTAATATAGTTCAGTAAAAAGTACAACATTTGCTTACAAAATGTGTACAATTATAAAGTAGCAGAATGTGAAAATACTCAAGTAAAGTACTTCCTTTCTTTTCTTAAGTACAGTACTTGTGTAAATGTACTTAGTTACATTACACCACTAGATATGTTACATAAAGCCTTTATTGCCTAAAGAAACAATTGTCCTCTCAACATAACTGTCACTGTTATTGTTTGTGTCTCCATCAACACCGTCTAGCTTACTGGAGCTCAGGCGAGTCACATTCCTTCTTCAGCTACATGAGAGCTAACACACAGGGCTGTTCCTAAACACTCGGTGACTCCATGACCTACCTGGCCCATGGGCTCATTTTCAGTGCCAGGCCTCTGCTGATACAGAAACCTGCTCCACCTGTTGCAAACCAGAACTTAACCGACACCTGAAATGAGACAGAGACAGTCAGCTGTTAGAGGTGGAACAGTTTGAAAGGCAGCATCACACAGTTTGCTCCTCAGGGCTCTGTTCTTGGTCCCCTCCTCTTCTCCTTGTACACAAACTCGCTCGGATCAGTCATTAGCCCGCATGGTTTTTCTTACCACTGCTACGCTGACGACACCCAATTAATTCTGTCCTTTCCCCGCTCAGAGACCCAGGTCGTCGCACGCATCTCTGCTTGTCTAGCTGACATCTCTCAGTGGATGTCTGCTCACCACCTCAAGCTCAACCTTGACAAGACTGAGCTGCTCTTCCTTCCGGGAAAAGATTGTCCCACTCTTGACCTAACAATCAACATCGGCACCTCAGTTGTTTCCCCGACTCAGACTGCAAGGAATCTGGGTGTGACCCTAGATAACAACCTGTCCTTCACTGCAAACATCGCTGCTACAACCCGTTGCTGCAGATACACGCTTTACAACATCAGGAGGATACGTCCCCAGCTGACACAGAAAGCGACGCAGGTTCTGGTCCAGGCTCTCGTCATCTCACGCCTAGACTACTGCAACTCCCTCCTGGCTGGTCTACCTGCATGTGCCATCCGACCTCTGCAGCTCACCCAGAATGCAGCGGCTCGTCTGGTCTTCAACCTTCCTAAATTCTCCCACACCACTCCGCTCCTCCGCTCCCTTCACTGGCTTCCGGTAACTGCTAGAATCCACTTCAAGACACTGGTACTTGCTTACCATGCTGCGAATGGATCTGGCCCTTCATACATCCAGGACATGGTTAAACTATACACCCCAGCACGTGCACTCCGCTCTGCATCAGCCAAACGACTCGCTGCACCCTCGCTGCGAGGGGGACCCAAGTTCCCATCAGCAAAAACACGTGGGTTTGCTGTCCTGGCTCCAAAATGGTGGAATGAGCTCCCCATTGACATCAGGACGGCAGATAGCTTACACACCTTCCGGCGCAGACTGAAAACTCATCTCTTTCGACTCCACTTCGAGCGATAGAACTATTAACAAAGCACTTATATACTAATAAAGGACTGGCTTACCTAAAGCCAGTTGAGTAGCACTTGAAATGTTTTGCTCTATGAAACCTGATGTACTTATATGATTCTGTTTTCTTCAAGTTTGTATTTTGTTGGTCGAACGCACTTATTGTAAGTCGCTTTGGATAAAAGCGTCAGCTAAATGCAATGTAATGTTGAAGACTTGATCTGTCTCTTGTGGATCTCCTGATGAAGTGTGAGCAGACTGACCGATCCGTCACTCTTGACCCTCTCTGCTGCCTCAATGGGATGGTCCAGACTGGGCCGGCCCAGGTACACATCCTGGCTGTGGTGGTAGGTGGAGAGCAGCTGCAGCAGGCTGGGCAGGATCACGTAGTTATCATCATCCACGTGGCAGAACCACCTGCAACACACACAGTCAACATTGCACGGTGAATACTGTACGTCTTGTGAAATCCTAGAAATATCATGTTAGATTGGTTCAAAGGAAGTGTTAGGCTGATTGTCCCTATAGGACGATAGCAACAGTTTCTTTTGCAAATCTCTTAACGCTGGAAATGGCATTGTAGAAAATGGAGAAATGCAAGATAGTGATGCTATCTATCGTACAACAGCAGTTTTTAAGATATTAGAGACAAAAAAAACGCTTGTCTGTTCAAATCAGATCACTTTCACTCACTTTTTCTGAGACTCTATGAATTTATCGTACTCCACGGACATCTTGCAGCACAGAGCCTGGCGGGTGTGAGCGGCTGAGCAGTTAGTGTTGATGATGTTCACTCCTGGAGGGGGACAGCAGTTCAGTTACATGCTGCTGTTGACATACAACTGTATATTCCACGTTTGTTTTTTGTATGTTTTCATTATTTCAGTACAAGTTGTTGTACACATTAGACAGACAAAGGTGTTACATTTGGCTCTTATTATTATTATACGAGAACTGTCCGGCTTCCCACCTGTTCTCATGCGGAGCTCCTTGTCTTCACCATCAGTGAAGATGTAGGTCTGAAACACACAAAGACACAGCGTGAAACTGATCTATTGTCTTATACTGGGACACTATGAAGTGCTCCATAGTTTGCTTGTAGACACAATAGTGCAAGACACATTGAAAATAAGAGAGAAGTAGAGAAAGAGCACATGTAATATCACTGTGGTGTCTTTCTGACTATGGAATGTTCTTGAGCTTTAAATGGGAATGTGGAACCAACATGGATGTCTGTCTGTGAGTTGTTGTTCTCAAATGGTAAATTCATTTGTTGATTATTCAAACAACATGAAAGCAGCATAAATCATACATGTTAATGTAAACAAAAACATAGTATGTGATTCCGGCCCATGATTGTTATCGGTTTCAAAATGTAATGTTCTTCCTAGGTCCATTCTACACCCTTCCACAGAGGTTTATGAAAATCGGGGCTGTAGTTTTTCCGTAATCCTGCTGATAAACAAACAAACAGACAATCCCAGCTGAACACATGTGGAAGCCTATTTGTTTCTTTTTCTTAAGGTTCTGTTGTGCAAATAAAACCCAAGTTCAACTAGACAAACAAACGACAGAAAGATCAACTGTAAAGTTTGGACCATTTCATCAATGAGCTTCACTTCATGTCACTCTAATACCACTCAATACTAGTGAAATGTAGCACACAGACCTCTGTGTGGCTCTGTGAGGCATTGACTTCCAACATCTCAAATCATTGATTATAAAATACTATTATTAACATGCAAAGCAATAACATATTTGGAACCTAAGTCCATGTCTAACTCGCTGCTCATCTGGGACAGGTTTCAAGGTCAGAACCAGAAATGTAGAGGCAGATTTGAGTTTTGTATACTTTGCACATTAGGAAGAAGCTTCCAGAACACCTGAGGTCTGCCCCGACCTTTCTGCTGCATTATAATATAATGCTTCTGCACCTCTCCAAGAATCTACTGCTTTCCCAATGTTGACTCCCTTCATTGTGTTGTATGAATTGTATTGCTTCATTTGTTTACGTGGTGTCTTACTCCCTATGTAAAGCCTTTGTGTCTGAAACGTGCTATTTCAGACCCTGCAGGCTGGCTTTGACCCCCCCTCTCCTTCTAATGACACACTCAAGAGGCTTGTTGAACTTGACCTTGGGCTTCTAATAAATAACCATCATCCATGTCTTTATGTGATGACATCTTCTGGAAGAGCCACACTGACAGATTTACATTACAGCCGCTTTTAAATGTACAAGCAGCTGTAATCACAAGGGGGGCAGACTTTACTGACCTGAGGGCAGTCAAATAAAAGGGCTACAGGCCCAGCAGTACGTTAGTTACAGCTGACAGCTAACAGAGAGCAGACTCACAGTGGAGCTGTTCATACTGCAGCACACACTCTTCTCTGACGTGAAGTGAGGCAGAGTGCTGCTGAACCTCCTTCCCTCCACACTGAGGCTCTTTGTGCAGGGACTTACCAGCTGATTTGAATAGCTCTCAAGACAGAGCTGCTCACTGTGCTTTCTGTCATATGCATGAACCATAGAACAGAACCATCCTTCGGGCAGCAGAGCGGAAACGGTGGAAATCCAAATACCCTGACAACCTCCTAACCTATCAGGCTCTCCTCTTTCTCTGCTTCCATCTCTCAGGCAAAAAGCACTTTCAAGATAAGATCCATTCTTCCTATTCCAAAAAACTATTCTCTATCTTCTCCTCCCTCCCCGAACCCCCCAAAGCCCCTCCTGACCCAGAAAGCCACGCAGGTTCTGGTCCAGGCTCTCGTCATCTCACGCCTAGACTACTGCAACTCCCTCCTGGCTGGTCTACCTGCATGTGCCATCCGACCTCTGCAGCTCACCCAGAATGCAGCGGCTCGTCTGGTCTTCAACCTTCCTAAATTCTCCCACACCACTCCGCTCCTCCGCTGCCTTCACTGGCTTCCGGTAACTGCTAGAATCCACTTCAAGACACTGGTACTTGCTTACCATGCTGCGAATGGATCTGGCCCTTCCTACATCCAGGACATGGTTAAACCGTACACCCCAGCGCGTGCACTACGCTCTGCATCAGCCAAACGACTCGTTGCACCCTCGCTGCGAGGGGGACCCAAGTTCCCATCAGCAAAAACACATGGGTTTGCTATCCTGGCTCCAAGATGGTGGAATGAGCTCCCCATTGACATCAGGACAGCAGATAGCTTGCACATCTTCCGGACTAAAAACTAATCTCTTTCGACTCCAGTTCGAGCGATAGAATTACTAACAAAGCACTTATATACTAATAAAGGACTGGATTACCTAAAGCCAGTTGAGTAGCACTTGAAATGTTTGGCTCTATGAAACCTGATGTACTTATATGATTCTGTTTTCTTCAAGGTTGTGTCTTGTTGGTCGAATGTACTTATTGTAAGTCGCTCTGGATAAAAGCCTCAGCTAAATGCAATGTAATGTATGGAATACTTGGGACTACTTTAAACCAAAGCCAAAAGGTATTTATTCACATTCGACTTAGCGTTTGTTCACAGACTAAAAGCATTAAAACTAGCCTTTCAATCGTCAGGTTTCCACACAAATATATCGCAAATTTGAATCAAAATTCAAGAAAATCTGCTAAAGAGAAGGAATGCTTATCAAATTCCCAAACGTTATGTGGTTATTATGAGTTAGTTATGGACATATAAAGCAGAGGGTGTGAACTCTCCAGTCAGAGAACCAGCAATCCGTTGCAAAAGAAGAGGGCACAACAATAAGACATCATTTAAACAGCGCCAGTCTACCCTCAAACAACTCAGGAAACTGGAATTAAACATGACATTTGTGTTGGTTTCATGTATTACAGTGAGGAGTGATGAGGAGAGCATTATTTGTCAAGTCACATGCTTCATTTAGTCTGTTTTAAATGTCACTGTTGCATTTAGCTTGAATACGATAATACTGTCAGATCAAGTCTGAGGTTGTTCTTGCATCACTGCAGCTCCATTAGCACATCGACAAGGAATTGCAGAACATTCTGTTGGCACAGCTACTTATAAACACCTTGGTTAAATAGATAGTGATTCTGACCCAAGGCAGATGAGGGTGTTATGAGAGTTATGGTTCCACTAAATGTCAAACTAAGGACATCACCGATGCATCTCTGAATGTGACAAGGCATCACCCTGAACACCAGCAGACCGCAGACACCGGGTGTTCACAGGCCTCCGTCAGGCCTCCGTCAGACCCATCAGCCCTGACAGCCTGTAAACTGCAGAGCTGCTGCTGATGGTGGTGCTGGAGCCCTGCTGCTCCGTCACCACCATCCACTCTGTGCTGCAGGAATGTGCTTATTTATTCAAAGATGTGCTCAGAATTGTATGCAAGTACTTTAAGTTAAGTAATACGCCAGTGTGAAAATACAAAAGCAACATCTGGCCTCAGTGTTTTCAGGTTGTTTTTATAAAGCTCTCTGAACAGATACATTGATAATGAATCATTATTATTAGTTGCAGCTCTACAAACGTCACCACTTCACATAAGATCCTAATAGTTCTCATGCAAGCATTGTTTTACAGATTGTGAGCTGCATGAAGATGTGTCCGAATGTTATGACCTGTTGTCAGTATGCAGCGGACATCTTTAATCAGAATACCTTTGTTAGTCCCACAGAGGGGACATTCGCATCGTTACAGCAGGAAAGAGCCACAGACAGCTTAGTAAAGCGCTTTGAGCATCTGGAAAAGCGCTATAATAAATGTAAGGAATTATTATTAATGTTACCTATGTTAAGAAAAAAGTACTAAGTTATGATATAATAAAAATATAATGTAAAAAAAATAAAAGTAAAAGAAAAATACTTTCCAAAATACAAATCCTGTAATAGTTCTTAGGATTTAGCAGCCAGGTATCTACACTGAACAAAAATATAGATGCAACACTTTTGTTTTTGCTCCCATTTTTCATGAGATGAACTCAAAGATCTAAAACATTTTCTATATACACAAAATAACCATTTCTCTCAAATATTGTTCACAAATCTGAAACAATCTGTGATAGTGAGCACTTCTCCTTTGCCGAGATAATCCATCCCACCTCACAGGTGTGGCATATCAAGATGCTGATTAGACAGCATGATTATTGCACAGGTGTGCCTTAGGCTGGCCACAATAAAAGGCCACTCTGAAACTTCTCCACATCATGTAGACAGCCAGTCACCCTGTGTGAGGCAGGCCACATCATGTAGACAGCCAGTCACCCTGTGAGGCAGACCACATCATGTAGACAGCCAGTCACCCTGTGAGGCAGACCACATCATGTAGACAGCCAGTCACCCTGTGAGGCAGACCACATCATGTAGACAGCCAGTCACCCTGTGTGAGGCAGACCACATCATGTAGACAGCCAGTCACCCTGTGTGAGGCAGACCACATCATGTAGACAGCCAGTCACCCTGTGTGAGGCAGACCACATCATGTAGACAGCCAGTCACCCTGTGTGAGGCAGACCACATCATGTAGACAGCCAGTCACCCTGTGAGAGGCAGACCACATCATGTAGACAGCCAGTCACCCTGTGTGAGGCAGACCACATCATGTAGACAGCCAGTCACCCTGTGTGAGGCAGACCACATCATGTAGACAGCCAGTCACCCTGTGTGAGGCAGACCACATCATGTAGACAGCCAGTCACCCTGTGTGAGGCAGACCACATCATGTAGACAGCCAGTCACCCTGTGAGGCAGACCACATCATGTAGACAGCCAGTCACCCTGTGTGAGGCAGACCACATCATGTAGACAGCCAGTCACCCTGTGTGAGGCAGACCACATCATGTAGACAGCCAGTCACCCTGTGTGAGGCAGACCACATAATGTAGACAGCCAGTCACCCTGTGTGAGGCAGGCCACATCATGTAGACAGCCAGTCACCCTGTGTGAGGCAGGCCACATCATGTAGACAGCCAGTCACCCTGTGAGGCAGACCACATCATGTAGACAGCCAGTCACCCTGTGTGAGGCAGACCACATCATGTAGACAGCCAGTCACCCTGTGTGAGGCA